GTTACAGAGTAGAGTCCTCCAATTATTTCATTTTATTATTTCCATCACCTGCCTCCATGGAGTCAACATTTTGTGGCCACTGAATATACTTTATTCTCCTTTGGTTGCATCTTGAGAATAACCACACTGAGGCTTTGTAAAAATGATATTATACCACTGCAAATTGTATAAGCATGCACTATAGGGCTGTGCATGCTTAGAAAATAATTTAGAAGACCTCATGCAAGTGTAACTTCTCTTGATTTTTCCGTTTATCTCTGACATGAATACATAATGGATATTTACATTTGCTCAGCACACTAAAGGAATTATCAGCTGGATGGTGGAATTAGGTATGAATGTTTTGAAAAGGATTTTGAGAAAGGATTTTGGAATTCATGCAAGCAATAATATGGAACAATTCCTGAAAGCCGTGACTTCGTAAAGTAACTGTCCTATTCTACCGGTTGCTTGATATTTTCTCTTACGTGCACATGGTGTCATTTGGCTCCATAAATGCAGGCATTTAGTTACTCTTTTGATATAACTTGGAAATAAATGTAAACAACCTTAGTGTATTAGTTCCAGGGATAAGTGGAAAAATCCATTTAGCTCATTACAATCTGCAATTTGCATATAACAGTTAATTGTGCCAGCTGGAGGCTTGGCTTCTTAATTCCCTGATTACAGAGGATTGATATTGACATACAGTATTTTAACACCGCTTTTCTTTGTTCAAATGCAAATGTTCTCTGTAGCATTGCAAATAGAAAGAACACATACTGCTTTTTTTAAAAAAATAAAGAATCAATCATGTTGTCTTTTCCCAGAAGGCACAGTGTTCTGTTGTCATTGTAGAGGAGGCTTGCAAACAGTTCCTGTTCATAGGTCCTTCTACAAAAAGAAAATGCTGCAATGTTTTTGGAAGGGGTGGAGAATCTGCAGCTGAATGAGCAAGGGCTGAAATGTTAGGCAAGGCACCTTGTGGGGCTGTAGGAAAATGGTGGGTAGGCTGGAAAAACAGCAGAACTGTGGCAAGGCAGTAAAGAGAGCAAATGTCCTGGGAAGGATCAGGCAGATGTTGAGGGAAAGGCAGCATTTGGGGTGGCAGAAGAGCCAAGCACAGGGGTAGAGAAGGGGAGAGATGCAGGGAGGCTCAGAAAGCAGTAGGAGGGAGGAATGTCTGGATGTTTGGGATGGGGGTGTTTTGGGCTACCCTCAACCTTCCCACCCCCCCACTCCTTTCTAATATATCTGGAAGGCACCAAATTGAAAAAGGCTTGCTGAAACTGACATTAGTTTTCTGTTAGGGTCCTTTCCTAGTCCTACCTATAGAATTCAAGAGTTTGAGCCTGGGAGCTCTTGCATATTGTTGAGGTATGGCTGTTCCCTTTTACTGTCTGATTTGTAACTTCTCTTTCTTCAGCTTATATCACATTCATTGTAGAACTCTTTCTCCTGAAGTTCGTATTCTGGGGGAAGAACTATGTATTCATCATAAAATAATTCTTGATGTGCTATAGATTCAACCTCAGGCCTTGTGCTCAGAAGCACTTCTATAAATGGCCTCCCAAAGCCCTTAACCACCAGAGGACACAATGCTGGAGTAAAAGTACTAATTGTTTGTAACAACCCTCTTTCTATCCCTGATCTTTTCCTGCTCACACTCACTACTGACAGTAAGCTTAGAAAATAAAGTCTGTATCATGTGACATGTTCTTTGAATGTTCGACATAGACATAGATCAGGAACTGAGAGATCAAGCAGCTAGTGTTAAATAGGATATAAAATATGGAAAGTTGGAGGAGAAGGGACAAAAAATATTTAGGTTTATATCTTCAGAATCTTATGCTTCCTTATTTGCAGGATAGATTTTTGCAAGATAGATTTTTCATAGCTTTCAGCGATTGCACCTTCACTAAAGGCAGGATATAGGGACTAATGGTTGTCATGGAAATAAGATTTTAAACTAAGGCAGCTGTCAAGGGTTATTGACAAAAGTGGGGGGAATTATATTCCAAGTTTAAAATTGCTCTATCGGGACACAACCTTCAGTTCAGATTTTAAAATATATTGGAAGGAGATACTTAAATACTTGTACATAGAATGTCCCGGCAGGGGGGTAGGGTAAGGCCTACATTAGCCTTCCCTAATTGAATGCCACCCAGATGTGTTAATTGTCCCTGGGTTTGGTAGAATTCTAGTTCAACACATCTGAAAGCCCCAGGCAGCAGAAGACTATGTTAGACAATGTATAGCTACATATTATTGTTTAGACTGCCCACATAATATATAACAAAACACTACTAAGTGTGGTTGGTGAAATAAGAAATAGGGAAGGTTCCAGCATCAGGTAACCCAATGTAGCCAGAAAGATTATTGTCCCATTATATACTACTTCATAAGTAAATACAGCTATTGTTATAAGAATTTTCACATGTTGTTTGAGCATATGCCTAAATGCTTAATAATTGTTTAGCTGTATGTTTCATATTGTTGACTCCTTTCATCTCTTCTCTCTGTGTGTAATAGAGCCAAACGGAAAAATTGGCTAAAGTCTATCAGCCAAAACGTGCCATCTTATCTCCTAAATGTGCTATATCTGTTGCACACCTCTTGGCAGCTCGGCAAGATTTATCAAAGATAATGAGGACTAGCAGTGGTTCTATCAGAGAAAAGACTGCATGTGCCATTAATAAGGTATCTATGTTGTTCAGATGATGATTTTTAATTTGTAAGATTTTGTTAAGGAATTTCATTGGAAAAGAATGTACTTGTGTAAAATATCATTGCTTTCTCTGCATACATGCACATAGAGCTTTCCTCCCTTTCATAGTTCCCAGTTCCTTTTGGCAAAATAATTTCCCCTCCCCTCCCTCATTTAGTTGATACCTCTGGAAGCTGTATACATAGCCCAGTCTATATTTGTGCTATATTGATCAGTTTAATGCTGTTTTTCCTTTTGAGATGAAAACATATCATTTAATATTATTTAGAGTTTTAGACTTGAAGCTTTGTATAATAGAATCACACTGTTCAAGCTGGGCAGCCCTATAAATCCATGATTGTGATTATGGTAATATTATTCTATAAATCCTAAATGTCCCAAAAGCTGATCACTTACTTCCTTAAATGTTAATATAAACTATTATATGGGGTGGGCACAAGGCAGAAAATGTGTTTTGTTCCCTGCAACCCCACCCCCCACATTATGGCTTGACAGTTTGATCAGATTGCTTGAAGAGAGTCACAATCTAGCCAAACAAAAATTGGAATGTTTTGGTTTTCAGCCAAGACAAAATCTGGAAGGATCTTACCGGGGGCTTATAGGGTGAGCAGGGCAAGGCTGGTGTGTCTCACCTGTCTCTCCCCTCCTCTTCTGCATGCCTGTATCTCAACATACCTGATGATATTCCCAGTGTGTCCTTCCCCTTGTCTCCTCTTTATCATGCTGCACTTTAATTGAAGCATGGTATACCCAACTGGTTGGTCTATGCATGGAATAGTCTGGTTTCAGAACACTTTACACATCTATAAATGCTTACAATTTTTATCTTCAGAAGCTCCTTTTCTCCTGCTAAATCATCAATATGTGTTCGCATTGCAACTTTTGGGGTTTTTTTTCCTAATATGGACTCAAATTTATATAAGTTTTTTTTTTAAAGAAAATAATATACTGTCAAACTTTTACATTTACTTTTCCACCATATTGATTTTGTTCACTTTTAGGTACTTATGGGCCGAGTGCCTGACAGAGGTGGGAGACCGAATGAAATTGAGCCACCTCCTCCTGAGATGCCACCATGGCAGAAAAGGCAAGATGGCCCTCAACAGCAAAGTGGTGGAGGCAGAGGTGGAAGAGGTGGCTATGAATCATCATATGGAGGACGTGGAGGCTATGAACAAGGGAGTCATGACCGAGGAGGCCGAGGAGGATATGACCAAGGAAGTTATGAAAGAGGAAGTCGAGGGGGGTATGACTCATCATATGGAAGTCGAGGAAGTCATGAACACGGGGGTCATGAACGAGGAGGGCGTGGACGTGGTGGCTATGACCATGGTGGCAGAGGGGGAGGAAGAGGAGGCAAACCTCAAGGTGGCTGGACCGATGGTGGAGGAAGTGGCTATCAAGATGTCTATAGGGATAGTAATTACAGAGATTCAGGATTTCAAACTGGTGGTTACCATGGCGGTGGCAGTGGAGGTGGCTACCAAGGAGGTGGTTATGGTGGTTACCAATCATCATATTCAGGAAGTGGATATCAAGGTGGGAGTGGCACCTATCAACAAGACAACAGATACCAAGACGGGCACTCCAGTGATCGAGGTGGAGGTCGTGGAGGAGGGCGAGGTGGCCGTGGAGGCCGTGGCAGCCGTGGTGGGCAAGGAGGTGGCTGGGGAGGAAGAGGTGCACAGAATGTTAATCAGGGGGGGCAATTTGAGCAGCATTTCCAGCAAGGGGGATACCAGTACAATCAATCTGGATTTGGACAAGGAAGACACTTCACAAGTTGAGGCTACAAAAATTTCTCAATTGGCAGAGCTCATGTAATAGTAGTCTGCTTATTTTTTCTTTTTGAATTAGTATCAGTCAACATGTCAGGGTGACCTTTTCAAACTCTGCTTTTGAGCATATGTGAAAATATGGATAAATACACTGCCCAAATCTAAATGCAGTTTTCTTCTCCAGGACACAGAACTTTAATACAGCAGTTGAGATTCTATATCTTAAAGGAAACTAGAGATTCAGAATGCATGTGTGTTCATACATGTAATATGAAAACCAATATGGCTGTATTTGTACATGGGCTTGTTTTTCCCATGTAAAACCTTCTCCCATTTATATGCCATATTGGATTGCCGACTTCAGATCTATACTTAACGCTGCGCATATGTGTAGTTAGCTGTGCATAAGTCCAATTAAGTCAGATGAATTTATGCATTTTAACTATGCAAAGAATTGCAGCCTATTTTGCTAGGTCTATTATATGAGCTCTACTGCTGGTAACTGGTTCAAGTAGCCTAATTGCTCTGACTGAAAACACATGTCAAATCAAATGTCCCAACACTCTCATACCATGCAAAATCATATTTAGTCAAGCTAAGTTGTAAAGAGAGACTAGAAGTAGCCCCATGCTTCCCCATAATCCCAACTTGCTCTCATCCACCACAAAAGAGTGGACCCCCTGACCAACCTAACTTTTACTTGAAACTAGCTAGCAGTAATGGCAATCTGAAACCAGTTTTATGCACGAATTAAAACCACTCATCCTGAAATGCAGAATGGTTTCATTTTGTTATTTAACTCAAGATGAAATGCCCTTCAGCTCAGTTTGTTACATTTTTCTTCACTAAAAGTTGCATTAGTGCGCCTCGCCTTTTTTTTTTTTTTTTGGTTTATTTGCATATAGAAATATTGTCAAGCTGTGAAAGAAAATGGCTGAAGGTGTGCTATTGTAAAAGGTGAGCAATAAAAAGTATCTGTTCTCCCTTTGGTTTATTGGTCTTTAACATTACAAATATAGATTGTTTCAGTTTCTTCACCATGAGGTTGAAGAAGCATCTTACAATTGCAAGTAAGCTTTTAAGACTAAGAAAGAATTGGACTGGGGAACAGAGCTCTCCCATCTGCAGTAAACAGAACAGGAGGTGGGAAGAAAATGTAGCTATCTCAAGGAGAAGCATTCTCAGCTAGCAGGAACTGATTTTGCTTTACCATTGACACTAAATTACTTCTTCTGGCAGGAGTAAATTTAGAAAGTTGTGAGAACAGGGGAATGGCAGAAGAAACTCATTTAACCCACTCTTAAATATACTAGGTCACTTTACAGAGGCACCAACTAATTTTTAATCCAGGTTTGTATTGCATTCTTTGATTCATCAAGCCCAATGTTCATTCCACTTCATAGTTATCAAGTATGCATACCTTGAAGTCAATATGCTAAAACTGTGTTGAGAATTCTGACCACTGGATTCTGAAAATGAGATATTTATAGCTCAGCAAAAATAGTTCCTAAAAGCTCTCATATTTGCAGCACAAAATCTCCACTAGGTGTTGCTCCTGATTCACAACTAAAAAATAACAAATTCTTGTTCATCACTGGATTAGTGTTCCATATCATGTAGAAAATGCTGCATCTCTCTAAATTTTTGTGGCAACATTTTTTTTTAAAAAGAGGCTTCTGTGCAAGTAAAAGTGCTAATGGTGTAAGTCACATTTTAAGTAGTTTGGTATCTTGGAAATCTTTGCTGGATTTGCTGAGAATTGCCACCACTTAAAATGGGCAAGGAGACTGTTTTTAGAGATCTATGAACATGTTAGGTGACTCACAGAAATACAAGAAATTGTAACAGTGAATTAACAGCTTGTATATTGTATTGTGCATATTGACCAATATGTCAACATATGAAAAAGTTACAGACCGGCTAGCACAAGCGGGCAATGCCTGTGTAAGAGATTTCAGTCTACAGGCAACTATGGTGGCATGAAATCTTTACAGGGGAAGAAGTAATATAAACATGGTTCTTGGCCATAGAGCTCAGTTGACCTTTAAGCATTTTTTTTCTCCTTTCTTTTGTAAGCAGGCCCAAAAAGAAACGTGTTGAACTTGACTCCCATTGACTGTACTCATGCAGTTTTCTTGGTAGCATCATGGAAAAGCTCTCTTTCAGGGCTTTCTTTGACTTACTGATTTAGCCAACAGAAAACCCAGTATTTTAGGTCCAACACAATTTGTTAAAATTCTCAAAGATCTTATTGATACAGTAATTGATGAACTTCTTGGCACAAGGGTAGTTAAATTTATCAATTGCTATTTATATATTTTTGCATCCTAGGGAATTTCCAAAGATTGTTCTGCAACCTGTAGACTAAACATTTATTTATGGAAAGTGAATGTTAACTGGTACTTGACTAGTAGTAGGAAAATGTAAATATAAAAAAAGTTACTCCTTAAGAAGAATCAATCATTTTATGTGCTTCTGTTTCTAACCTTCTCTCATGTGAATTATGTAGTAATACATACAGGCCCTCTAACTTTTATCTGAATCTAAAATAGGTCACTAAATTGTGAGAAAAGGTACTATTCTGTCTGCAATAAACATGTCATTTTTTTCAGAGATAGTGTACTTTCCAAGAAAAAAAAAACATGTACATGCCTGTCTACATGAGCTATGATAATCTGTCAGCTAGGAGATGGTAAAGAAATGAGGAAGTTGAAAGCTAAGCACGAAGGCTATTCCCCCCCCTTTTTTTCAGGAATACCTAAATTAATCAGAAGGTACACAACTATTAATTTTTAAATCTCAAAACTGTCCAGTAAGCACCAGAATATTATGCTACAGTACATGGTTGCTTGCCAATAATGCAAAAATGCTTTTTTTTTTTTTAATGGATGAATCTTTTTATGGATAATTTTAAGGCCAGAAATTGAGTTTACAATTAAAGCCTTTTCTGGCAGTTCTGTCGCAGTAGTGCCAGATATTATAGAGAAAATGTATCTGTTAAATATTAAAATATGTTTTTTAAAAAAGCAGTTCCTTTATATCTTGTGACATAGAATAAGTTATGAATTGAAGTCACTCCAGCTATTAGGTTTTAAATAGGCAGATTTCCATATTGTCAAGGCAATGGTTATAGTAGCTTTATAAATAAATACCTTTATGGCCATATCACAGATTAATACTTGTGTTCCACATCTGTTGTTGGAAGATTCTATGCAGTTTAAGAATTTAGCCTACAGGATAATGAATGTTTGAAGATGTTTGATTGCAACTAGCCACTTTCAAAGGTACAGCACTGAGCAAGAAGAGAGATTAGAATGTTAATAAATCTCCAGGTAAGGATACTGGTTCTGTCGATTCTGATTTTCATTCAATATTCTATATAAAGCCTTTGCTATTTATAAAATCCAGTGTTTATTTCCAGTTTGCTAAAGGGTGTGAAAACAAAACAGCTCCAACAACCATGAAATTAAACATGATACATGTTTACAAATATCTAGGAAACAGTGAGAGCCAAGATTTTTATCCTTCTTTCAAACTTCCTTAATTTGGTGCTTTCCAGGTGTAGTTGGCCCTTAGCCATGCTGGGAGTGATGGGAGTTGTAAACTGCACTTGGCAGATACTAAGAGTGGGGAAAGCTAGGCTAAATTACACTACCTGAATTCCACAATCTTTCTGTACCAAGTATACATTTAATCTGAGTTCATCCAGTTCTGTGAATTAAGTAGCAAGCACACATTGTGGATGATCACAAACTGAATAAATATAAAAATTTAGATAGCTTCATAATTGTGTTGAGAAATAATAATAATACTAATTTAAAAAAAAAACTCTCTGCCTAATAAATCTTATAGGTGAATACAGCCATGGGGGTAACCTGAGCTATCAGTTCCAAATAGAAAATAAGCTTTCAGTTGTTTCTGGGGACGCCTCAGAATGTGGTAGGTTGACAAAATTTGGATCCAGAAATCTTGGTAACTGATTCTTGTACAAGCCAGTATGGTTTTGGTAGTGATGTAATAGATTTAGAACCAGAATGTTCTGCAGCTATAATGTTCCTTTGTTTTCCGTCAGTGCAAGATTGGTCAAATTACTTCACTTATGTGAGAAAATAAATAGTGTACTTTTATCATTAAGCATCTGTCACCAATGATAAAATCTGCTGAGTGTAACAGTGGTATGAAGTTCAGCCACATTCAGGCAATTTAGAAAATATCACACTGCTTTCTTGAACTATCTTCTATAGACAGCAGATTTTCTGTAGCAGTTCAGCAAGCCTATAATAAATCAAAGGAAACAATTCTCAGTATTTTGTTTAGACAAGATTGATATACATACTCTAAGAGGAAAGATCCAAAGTCAACATAATCACCAGGTCGGACTGTATCAGTTCAACATGCAGGGACCGCTTGCTTTAATGTGCTTATACTATATACTAGCAATCATTTGCTGCTCATAGATAAGGAAATGTCTTATCTATTCACCTTTGCTTGCTGATTTTCTATAACAGAAAGCTTTTAACATATGCAGCCATTTAGTCTGAAATGGCAAACTGCATTAAGTAGCTCTGATTGTACCACTTATTTATTTACAATTTATAAGGTTGTCTAATTCCATAGTGATTCTGGGCAGCATACAGCACTAAAAACAGCATGAAAACAAAATAAGGGAAAAAATGATGTTAATAATCATTAACACAAGTAATCCACATATATTTTCAGTGGCCTCATTTTGATGTTAAAGAGGAAGGGTGAGAACGTTGAGCCCTGTGGCATCCCACATTTCAGGAGCTTTGGGCTCTATCTCTCCCCTCCCACCAACACCAGTAGCAACCAACCACAGAGAAAAGAGAACTACCACAATATGGTACCCCTCTCAATCCCCACAGGCAGTCCAGTGTTAATAACCAGGACGGTTGTACTGCCCTGTCTTGGTTCCACCAGTGATCATCAACAAGTATAATCAGTGCTGTCTCACTACTATGCCCCAGTCCGAAAACTGATTGAGAAGGGTTTAGATACTCTGTTCCCTCTAGGACCATCTGAAGCCACAGTCTGACCACTTATTCAGCAACCTTCCCTAAAAAGGGAAGGTTGGAGACTGGATGAAGATTGTCATGGACTGTTGGGTCCGGCAGTGACTGAAGAGGTGGCACGCCATGGCCTCTTTCAAGATAGGTTGAACCATTACCTTCCTCACAAAGGCTGACACACCACATTAGATAACCTTCAAACTGATCATTTTTGTATTGAGTTCTAAATATAACATTTGTATTAGTTCTAAAGTTTTGAGTTCTAAATATAAACTTTGTGCACAGCATATGTAGTATAGTGCCCAATCTCAAATACATTGCTATAGTAGTAAACATATAATTCCATTAGTTTATGCTTATGGAAATAAAGTTCCCTAAGATCTGCAATAAACTTTGTTGGTGACTATTTGCCCTGTAGTATACAGTTGCAAAAACAGTATGTTAAAATTTTATAGTATATTGAGAAAGAAATAACAGGGCTTTAAACCCTAAGAATTTTATACTACAAACCTCTACTTCTTGTCTTTCTAGGAGGGTTTCTGTTCCATTTTGATCCATCATATGTGCTGGCGTGTCCCTGTTGACTGGAATGTTAGACTTTTCATTCTCCCATTTTGCAAAACCTTTATTCTTTCCAGATTTACTATAGAACTTGGATTTCATTTTGGGGAAAGTGTGTGATCCTGAATCACCCCAACCTGGTTCATTCCACAGTGGTTCTGTCTGAGTTGCTTGACTAGTGGTTACCCGCTGGAGATGAACTGAAATCTTCTGAGAGCAGCCAGTTACAAGTGTGATTGCTCTGCTATCAAGATCCTGATTTTGTGGGGTTACAGTGGGGAATTTAAATACTTCATCTTGTACTGCAATATAACAAACAGCAAATTAATTAAGTTAATGTGAAGTACAGTATGGAACAAATGCTGGCTAGATAGCAAATTAATTTCAGCTAGGAAAGATGAAGGCGCCTCAGTAATTTGAAGGTTTTCTTTCAACACTGAAAAGTTTGTATACTGTATTTGTAATTTACAGGATTTTTCTTTAAGGTGCGCGCGCACACACACACACACACACACACACATTCATCCCTTGATTTTGAATTTGTTTTCATTTTGCATCCACACCCCTAGTTTTGATGGGATCTAACACTATTTTAGATCTGTCCATCATACTGATAAATCAGAAAGGTTTTAACTACTTCCCCAATCTAGTTTATTCTCGAAGTGTTAGACTACACCTCTCAACATGACAGAACCTACAGAAAATACTCCTGGATGGCATGGGGTTGGGGAAGGCTGACTTATAGTAACCAACAGTTAAAAACATTTGATACATTATAAAACAAGAAACCTATCCTAAGTCATCAGCTTAACAATCAAACATTTAAAATCCCAGTAAGAAAATAATCTTACAAATTTCTTCAAGCCCAGCTAATCTCAGTTAAGAATCTTACAAAGAAATGTCTTCCTTTCTTTCATAAATAGGTCAATGCAGTCAATAGCATTAAATGTCTTCTACTCAACCATGTTTGAGATTCACACTTATCAATCTAGATAGCCAGCAGGCACATTCTGAAGCTCCAGTCTGTACGTATCTTATGAAAAAATTGCATTTCCAAACCCATGAAATATTTTGCTATTATTTCCTGTTTTGATAAACACAAAAGGAAAATCAAATCTACAGTATTCCCTAACTAAAGCAAAGTTGTATGGGTAGAGCTTTATTTCATATTCTTTCTAACTTCTCCTATTTCCTCCTCTGATAAAATCACATAATCTAAATCCAAGGCTGTAAAAGGCTTCATTGATAGGAAATTATCCTTAATATATCCTTTTACGTTTGTCGAAGTATTTATAAGCTATCTTTCTGGCCCAAGTCCACTCCTTATGATCCATGATGATACTGTTATTCTTCTGAGAAACTTTCTCGCAGATGACCTTGCTCTTTTAACCAAGTTGTTTTTAAAAAGAGTACTGTAGAGACAAATAATCCAGTGGTGCAATCCTATGCTTCCCATCAGTCTGGCTGGCCTGCTTATCAGCTTCCTGCAGCCAGAAGCAAAGAGCAAAACAGTTTGGCAGCCTCATAACCATCTCAGGAATAGGATGGTCAAATGAGAATGATACCATCAAGAGGTTTTCAAAGATGCATGATGGTACCTGAGTGGTTGGTTTAATCCTGGTCTGTTCTAGTTAGATGGGTGGAAGCCTGATTCAGCAACAGGCAGCCCTGGTATTATTTTTTTTCCTCCCTGTATTTCCAAAGTGACAATCCTAAAGTCTTCCACTGTCACAGTTTTGGTTCTGATATTTGTAGTCAGGCCCATCTAGGAAAGACCACCACTCTAAAACTTCCTTCCTCCTCCACTTTTACTCTTAGATTCAGACAGATTTGATTTAAACAGAACTGAGCCTGAAACTGAAGCATTTTGATCTTCCTTCCTCTCTGGTTGTCATGAGCTGAGAAAAGAACTCCAGAGAAGAATACGGTTGGCATTCCCAATATTTCAAATCTTTCAAATCATAAATCATAGAGTAATCTGTACAAAATGTTTATGTATTGATGTTCTGGCTTTCAAGGTTAAAGCCAGTCCTTTAAATAACCATTTCCT